CATGCCATGTGCACTAATGCCTCCTCCCCCCATACCATCATACATATCGGCTTTTGCACTGTGCACTGATAAGCTGAGTGGTCTTTAGCCCAGAGGACGCAGTGCCCATGATTTCCAAAAACAATTTCAATTTTTAATTTGTTGGACCACAGGACAGGATTCTGTTTATATATGGTTTCTTCTTTGCATTTTAGAGTTTTAATTAGCATTTGTGGATGCAGCGATGAAGTGTTTTCATAAACAGTGGTTTTCAGAAGTGTTCCTGAGCCCATGCAGTGATTTCCACTAGAGAATCATGTCTGTTTTTAATGCAGTGCCGTCTGAGGGCCCAAAAGTCATTGCCAGCAAATACAGTTTTTTGGCCTTGTCCCTTGCATACAGAGATTTCTCCAGATTCTCTGAATCTTTTAATGACATTATGTACCATGGATGATGGAATCCACAAGTTCTTTGCTATTTTACGCTGAGAAATGTTATTCTTGAATTGTTGCACTATTTGTCCGTGCAGTCTTTCACAGAGTGGTGAACCCCATCCCCATCTTAACTTCTGAAAGATTCAGCCTCTCTGGGATGCTCTTTTTGTACTAAATCCTGTTACTGACCTGTTGCCAATTAACCACCAGGTGGTGTGTTTTTTTTTTTATTATTATTATTATTTATTTATTTATTTATTTGTTTGTTTGTTTTATTACACAACTTTACCAGCCTTTTGTTGCCCTGTCCCAACTTTTTTGAAACGTGTTATTGGCATCAAATTCAAAATGGGCATATATTTTTCAAAACACAATAAAATTTCTCAGTTTCAAAATTTTATATGTTGTCTTTGTATTATTTTCAATGAAATATAGGGCTTAAATTATTTACACATCATTGCATTTTTTTATTTACATTTTGCACAGCATCCCAATGTTTTTGGAAATGGGGTTGTAGATAGATAGATAGATAGAGTAAGAGCTAGATTGAGAGAGACAGAGAGAGCGAAAGCTAGCAAAGAGAGACAGGCACAGTAGAAAACGGAGAGAGAGAGGGAGATAGAGCTTGGCGTGATAGAAAACAAGGAGGGAGAGATCGAAAGATAGAGAGACTGCGCAAACACGAGAGAGACAGAGCAATAGAGAGTGTATGCGCTAGACAGAGTGAATGGGAGAAAATGCATTAGTGCCTGAAATCTCTCAGAAAAGAGAGCTTCTCCACTGTAAAACAATTATCACTTTAATCCGTATATATAAGTAAACTGCCAATTTTAAAATGTCATGTTCACTGAACATATAGTAGTAAGTTAACAGAGGAGTGTATGTTACTTTCAGTTAACTCATTATTTTAGGTAAAATAATTTTTTATGATTTTGTTTATAATGCCCTAAAAACATTGCTGAATCACTGCACATTTTGTTACTGTGTAGTTTCTTAAATAAAAAGTAGCAACTACACATTTTGTTGAGGATGGTATCCCAGAACAATTTTACAGTGACCTGGGCTAAAACAAAGCCCAGGCAAAGCCCCTGTTGAATCCTGTTGTATGTGAAGCATGTAACCACTCGATTTACGTGCAGAAAATCTGACCCCTGGCTGAAGAAAAGCTGGCTCAACTTACACTTAACACTGTTGCTGCCATTTAAATCTATTAAGAATGTATATAAATGTGCTTACTGTAGATTATGGCTGCAACAACTAATCAACATTATCGATTATATCGCTAAAATAGTTGTCAACAAAACATGTAATCAATTAGTTGGCTGAATGACATTTGCTCTTTTCATTTACATTGTGTGATAGAAAGAGGGAAATACAGATTGCAGTCAAAGATTAAATATGCTACAGTACAAGGTTTTGCATGAACCAAAAAAAAAAGAAACTGTTAAAACAATTCAGTTTCATTGACAATTTTAAAATTTCATGTCCGATACATAAAACTGTGTCCTGCAGGAGGCAAAACCGCAAAGAAGGAAACATAATGTTATCACACAGAATCTATTCCATCTTATTTATTTTTGATTTATCATTAACAGAGAAATAAAGCAGCTTATCTAGGACTGCTATGTAAAATTTGTTTCTGTTGTTCCTTCATTTTTCTGCACCTTTATAGAAATATAGATCATATATAATAATTTTTTTCTGTTCCTGTGCCCTTGATAAAACCTTTTTAGAAACATAAATAAGAAGATAGGATAGGTGTTTTAATGTTTTTATAAAGGAAGAATAAGCATTGTATTTCTTTTATTTTTTTGAATGAAATATTATTGCCAAACTACTATCTAAAATCTGCAGGATTTCAGTTCCTAATCAATTAATTGAAGTCATAATAGGCCCCTAATCTATTCTGAAAAAAATGTGATTAGTTGCAGCCCTACTATAGTTTGCTATAAAATTTGCAGAATATATTTACTATAGATGGATGAACTGGGTAAGCTCCAGAGTTTTTGATGAATTAGAGCAGTATGTTTGTCACTCATGAAATTGTCTTAGTTTGTTTTCCATGGTGTTAATGTTTATTTCTTTGTGCGTGTGCATGTGCATATACACTATATTGCCAAAAGTATTCACTCACCCATCCAAATCATTGAATTCAGGTGTTCCAATCACTTCCATGGCCACAGGTGTATAAAACCAAGCGCCTAGGCATGCAAACTGCTTCTACAAACATTTGTGAAAGAATGGGTCACTCTCAGGAGCTCAGTGAATTCCAGCATGGTACCGTGATAGGATGCCGCCTGTGCAACAAGTCCAGTCATGAAATTTCCTCGCTACTAAATATTCCACAGTCAACTGTCAGTGGTATTATAACTAAGTGGAAGCGAACAGGAATAACAACAACTCAGCCATGAAGTGGTAGGCCACGTAAATTGACAGAGAAGTGTCAGCGGATGCTGAGGCGCATAGCGCGCAGAGGTCACCAACTTTCTGCAGAGTCAATCGCTACAGACCTTAACTAAATGAACTAATCTTCATGTGGCCTTCAGATTAGCTCAAGAACAGTGCGTGGAGAGCTTCATGGAATGGGTTTCCATGGCCGAGTAGCTGCACCCAAGCCTTACATGACCAAGAGCAATGCAATGCGTCGAATGCAGTGGAGACGTGTTCTTTGGAATGATGAATCATGCTTCTCCCTCTGGCAATCCGATGGACAAGTCTGGGTTTGGCGGTTGCCAGGAGAACGGTACTTGTCTGACTGCATTGTGCCAAGTGTAAAGTTTGGTGGAGGGGGGATTGTGGTGTGGGGTTGTTTTTCAGGAGTTGGTTTCGGCCCTCTTTGTTCCAGTAAAAGGAACTCTTAATGCTTCAGCATACCAAGAGATTTTGGACAATTTCATGCTCCCAACTTTGTGGGAACAGTTTGGGGATGGCCCCTTGCTGTTCCAACATGACGCACCAGTGAACAAAGCAAGGTCCATAAAGACATGGATGAGCGAGTTTGGTGGAAGAACTTGACTGGCCTGCACAGAGTCCTGACCTCAACCTAACAGAACACCTTTGGGATGAATTAGACCGGAGACTGCGAGCCAGGCCTTTTCGTCCAACATCAGTGTCTGACCTCACAGATGTGCTTCTGGAAGAATGGTCAAAAATTCCCATAAACACACTCCTAAACCTTGTGGAAAGCCTTCCCAGAAGAGTTGAAGTTGTTATAGCTGCAAAGGATGGGCCTACATCATATTAAACCCTATGGATTAAGAATGGAATGTCACTCAAGTTCATATGCGTGTGAAGGCAGACGAGCGAATACTTTCGGCAATATAGTGTATGAGGAGTTTTTCAAAAAATACATTGATAGGCATAGTTCTTAAAATAATCACATGCTTTCATGACTGCTTATGTCCAGTGTATATCTGAACAGATTTACAAAGCAAAGTTGAGAATGTTTAAGCATAAGCATATTCACTTTAATATATTGAACTAGATCAGCTAAGCTCAATACATGGACTAACAAAATATGAATAAAGAAATTAGATAAGTATAACAGTACAAGTAAATGTTACACAATGTTTATATACATTACTGGGCAAAGGTCTGATGCACCAGATAAAATTATTTTTTAAAAAGCTATTTATTTGTGCAGTAAGTGTTTATAAGTAATATTACTAAAATAAATACAAATAACATTAATAGAATAAATAGTAATTTTATGTATGCCATTGTGCTCACTTCCATTTCCAAACCTCTTCTCGTGGCAGTCTGGGATTATTAGTAGTTATCATCCTCGGTACTCTGTTTGGCTCACCAATCCTTTTGTTAAATTTTAAAAAATTTAAAAAATGTTACATTTCTGTTAAATATGTTAAATCAGATGTGCTGGTGGTGGAATTGAACAAATCTATGCAATGACTAGGGGCAGTGAGGAGAAGTTCTGACCCAAACCTTTGTTTCTTACTAGTTCCTAAACCTACTTTTTTGAAAACAATGAAAAAATACTGGCAAAAATACACGTCTTACCCAGATAAATGAACCTTCACACACACACACACCATGTGTGTGAAGGTTCACATGTGCCAAAATTTGCGCAGTATTGTTATGTGTAGTTTTGTGCAGCCTTTTGAGCTGTTTGGGTCCTAAGAGATGATGCTTTTGTCATATGATGCATTAGTGTATGTGTCTGTGCATGGGGTGGGGTCCTCACGTTATTTTTGTAAATTATTTAGTGCATATGATTAAATATTAAAACAGGCAGTACCTTTCTGAAGTAATTTATGTGATTGTGTGTGTGTGTGTGTGTGTGTGTGTAGAGGAAGAAATTGTTTGGTTGCATTTGAGTAACTCGGTTTGGCTGATTGATCAGTTTCATTAACCTTGACGCAATATTAAGTATTTATGTGTGTGTTTTATGGTGTGTGTGTTTGTGTTTATAAATGAATGTGAATATGTATTTATCTAATTATGCAGCTGTTTTTTCCTTGCTCTTAGACGTTTTCTGCCCCTCTAGTGCAATTGATCAAGGTGAAGGTTCAAAGTTAACACTTGAAAACATAAATCTGTGTGTGTGTCTGTTTTTGCCTCTGTGTTCAGTCAAACCCTTCAAGTTAGGATCATCGACGATGAAGAGTATGAGAAGCATGAGAATTTCTTCATTGTCCTTGAGGAACCTCGCTGGCTGAAGAGAGGAATCTCTGGTATGTGTGTGTGTGTGTGTGTGTGTGTGTGTGTGTGTGTGTGTGTGTGTCTATGTTAGTGAGATAGAGAAAGAGAGCAATGCTATTTCTCATCTCAGCACTGTTGAAGTGCTTCTCAGAGCAAACTTTCAGCAGCTGGTTGAAACTCCTGTCAAGTCATGCAAAGATAAAATGTATATGAAGTGAGCAGTTGAGTACCTTTTGTATGTGTGTATTTATTTGACTTTGTTAATCCAGTAGACACATATTAGTGCTAAGCACCTTTCCCTCTCTGTTGTACTTTCTGTATCTTTCTCTTAAGTTCAGTTCAGGCTTTATTGGCATGACTACTTTATTTAGGGCTGTGACAATTAATTGATTAAATTTTATTACTTGACTTTTATAAAATAGATTGTCCTCTTGTTCTCTCTCTTGCATTTTCCTAGTTTGACCTTCGAACGATCTGTAGTTCCATTCTGAAACCCAGCTGTATACTGTTGCTATAACTGTAGTCTACTCATTTAAATACAGTCTTTAAATTGCAGCTTCTATGCTGGATCACATAATTATTTTTTTCTAGATACTGCAATGCTGTGGATTTGTTTATCACTAAGGTGCATTGAGTCTGAAGTAACAAATTAAACAGAACTCACCCCTGATGCCAGTAATTTCATCAGTATCAGTAACACTAGCACCTGAGGATGCCTTTGGCAGACTATGCTGGACAGATCTTGTGGGAGAACTCTAGATTAATCAACAATGTGCAAATAAAGTGAATAGAGCAGTTGGAACATGCGGCCACTGTTGTTTCACTAGGTGAGAAAAATAGAAACGAAAGAATCTTTTTTTCTGGTCAAATTATAGTAAACAAGACAAATTACTTGTGAATACCTGCTAAACTAATGAGGGTAATTGTGATTAAGTATTTTAATCTAAGCCCTAATATGATTGGGGACCATCACTGTGAATTTATAGTCTATGTACAGCAGTGTGTAAAAATACATGATATTCTAATTATATTTAATGCTTTATATTTTGGTATTACAGCACAAAACTATTACCTGATTGATACTACAGGATATTACAGTGGCACTAATTGCATATGCACCTACAATTTTTAATTAGTTTTAAGTGAGTTTTTAGTTAAATGGGAATATTTGCAAATATCTAGCAACTTCTTAGTTCTGTACAAAGCGCTATGTCTAGAAAATAAATAACGCTAATAGGCAGAAATGCAATCACTATATGAGGGAACTAAATTCACCTCAGATGGCAGACTGGCAAGCCACTGCTTAATGTAAGGATGCTTTGTAGCTTAGACAATAATCATGCAATGTTAAAGTAATAAAGTTGTTAGGTTAGCATCACATTTTTGGAACTTGGCTCATTATTACTCATGCAACCAGGGAAAGCCATTCTCAAATATAATATGTTAAATATAACAATATATAAGCCATGTAATTTTTTCAAGAGCCATCCCATATACCCCCCAAAATTATCTCCCCGCCCTTCCTTATAATTGTATTAAGGTGTCCGTTCCTGGAAAGCAGCCTTAATGAACTCTCCTGTTGCTGCCTATCAGCTGATTGATAATGCTTATAATAACAAAACTGTCTCTCTTTCTCACCCCCATAGCTCTACTGCTGAACCAAGGTAAGGCTGCAAACTCACTTCTTTTCTTCACAGTTCAGCCCTAAAGGGCATATTTTTCACAGTGCTCATTTGCCTTATTGTCATCAGTGATTTCCAGCAGAGTGGGTTATGTTTTGCTCAGTACAACTGCAGTCATCAAAATAAGTAAAACTATTGAGTGTTCTGAAACATATGCTAGAATACAAAAATGTATTGTCGATGTTGCAACAAAACCTTTTTGAAAGTATAAAAAGATTTTATTCCAAGTGAGTTTGGACTATTTCCTTTGGTCCATTCATCATTAAATTTTCCCCAATTATAGTTATGTTCCCCAATATAAAGAGCAGCTGGCATGTTAAGCTTTGTTAAGTAAATTGAATAAAATAAATAAACACAGCAAACAAATACAAGGTTTTGTCCTGACAGTGACTTTATCTTTTTTGCATTCTATTTTTATGTTTTCCCTCCTCGCTTTCCCATTTTGTCTTTCCACCTGTTTCTCTCACTCTCTTTCTTCAGAGGATCCAGAGGGGCAGCTGAGTGCTGAGGAAGAGGAGGCGAGGAGGATCGCTGAGATGGGGAAGCCTATTCTGGGAGAGCACAGCAGACTGGAGGTCGTCATCGAGGAGTCATATGAGTTTAAGGTACAAACAATGTGTCCAATAGTGGCAAACTCACTAACTCAGAGCCAATAATTTAAAGGGGTGTTTTGGCCTAAAACTGCTGTTTAAAATGTTATTTATTGTGCTGTGCAGTATTCTGTAGTGCAGCATTATATCCCTTAGCTTCATCGGTTTGAAAGAATTCCTGATTTCATACCTTTTTACATTTTCATTCATCAATCTTCTGTCATCAATCTCATCGATCCGCAGTACCCAGTATGCAATACACAAATACATCATACAACCATTGGGAATCCCTGCGATGATCAAACAGTCCTGAGTGAGCTATGGGCTAATAAATACAACCAAGCTAGCATTAGTGTATCTTTTTCCTTGGTTATTGAACAAAATTATCAAGAAGACAGCACTACAGAAATATATATCATGCGGTATGTATGCTGAAGTATGCACATTCAAAGGTTGAATAGTTTAAATACAACAATCATGATAGTGATTTTAGTAAATAAAAATGAACAAAATAAAATTATAGACGTGTATTTTTTTGGTTCATTAGGCCTTCTCTGGAGGTATAGAAGGCTCTGAGGGTTCTCCCCTGGTCTTTTTATGTCATCCCATGTGAACAAACAATTTACCACGATTTAAATACTTCCAACATGTGAATACTCACTCCTCATATGGTCTATGAGCAGTCAAATGCCTTTGCTAGGATTTGTAGCCCATGGCTACCTGTCTATACCTGAACCTTGCTGTATAGTATTCAGAGCTTTTTGCTTGTTGCAGCTTTTTTCAATACTTTTTCAATGGTCAGTTCTGAGGTTGCTAGTTAAAGCACACTTTTATAACCTACAGACTCCAAAAAGGCAGGTGCAAACCACTTGATGCTGACATATCAAACAAAGATTATGTGTATATTTTTTCATTCACATGCAACTAAACCAACTGAGAAACTGTAGTCTGTGTGGCATGTTGTAACTGTCAGAATCATGGAGCAGTCTGTCACTAAGTTCTCTTGCCTGGCACTGCTAGAGCACAGTGGATAAGCTGATAAAGAAGACTAACCTGGCCCTGGTGATCGGCACACACTCCTGGAGAGAGCAGTTTGTGGAAGCAGTGACAGTCAGTGCAGGTCAGACACACACACACACACACACACACACACACACACACACACACACACACACACACACACACACACATTCTACTCCTCGTTTTTTCCCCCTTTCTCTCTAACACCCTCTTTTAATTTCAGTTCAATTTGAGATTAATTGCCTGTAATACTGTAATAAACAGTGGAGAAATGGAAGGTTTTAAAGTAGGGATGTCCTGATCCAGATTTTTTTGCCCCTGGTCTGATCCAGATCCTTTAATATTGAGTATCGGCTAGTGCCGTGTCTGATCCGATACTTCTGTTTTCGTAGGTGACCACACAGGGCACAATTCAAGCACATTTAACTAACAGTCCAATAAGATATTCTGGGCTGCCGGTTAATTCTGCAGTAAACCACTTCAGTTGACTACTAAATTTAGAAGTAAAACCACTCAGAACCAGTACATTTTGGACTACTTTTTGAAATGATAGTTTCCTAGTGTTCCTAATTGCTCAGATGAACTTTGAAACATAAAATATCAATGCAAACATACTTAATTTGGTTTCACTCGTAAGGATTTCTTGGGGCCAACAATTGTGGCACCAACAGATTTGAGATTTTTTTTTTTCATGATAAGATTTTTTTAAGATAAGTAATGAATGTTGTTTATAGCCCTGTGCACTTTACTCTATACACAATTTCATTTTCCACTTTTTAATACTATGTTGAAATCATCATATTTTGTAGTGTGTTTAATAATAACTTATGATCCAATTTGATCTAAGTGTATATAGTGCTATACACTTTGAATTGATATACTTTTGGGTGAAATAGCTATTTTATAGTGTCAGAAACCCACTATAATTTCATTGCTGCATAAGTTTTAAACTAGAAATGGCATGGCATTGGCCATGTTTGTGCATGGCTTTGGTTTTTATCCCATTCACAACTCATGAGTCAAAAATATATTAGGAACATATTTTTTGCATACAAAAAAAGCTTGAAGTGCAATAGCTGTGTGCTTACGTTTTACATGTAACTAGATAAACCATTTTAAAATTTAACTTTAAATAAAAAAAAATCTCAAAGCTCAAATGCAGTGAAAACGCAGCATTTTCTGCTTTAGTGGCATAAATGGGGCGGGCACAAAAATCAGAAGTGGATCGGGGGATCTAATGTGTTGGGGTTAATATAACCATTAAAACATGCCTGGATTGGGTCCGACATCTTTACTTCATAGTTAAGCCATTCATAACTGAACATGCTGAACAAAGGATTTCTGTTAGAAGCCCATCACCTCTAGTGTACTTGTGACTCCACACTTCACTTCCATAGACTTCCATACATTACAATGGACTGCTATCAAATATGATATAATAATTTTACAACAGATTGAAATAGATATGTAGAATTTCCCCCTTTTCCTCCCTTTCTCTCTCACACTCTGTATCCCTTTCACACACTCTCTTTTTCCTTCTCCTCCTTTTCCTCTTAATAATTCTCAGTCTATTTCTTTGTGTTCCTGTTCAGGTGTGTTCCTGTTCATGTGTAATGAGAACCTGACTTACTATAATAAACTTACTTTTCTTTTCAGGTACTAAGTGCTTTGAGCAGGAGGCAGCACTTATAAACAATCCTCATTGAATGAGATAGTGAGAAATGTATCAAAGTGGCATCACTGTATTTCACAAACACTGCCAGTGTGTTGTTTAAGCTTTCAACTCAGTTGTTAGAATATTGTCCAGGTAAGATGTTATTGAGAAGTACTGCCTTGTATATCACAGTAAGCTGACGAGTCTCACTGCTAAAGAATAATGATGTTACACTGCCCTCTGGTGGCAGGCTCAATTAAATAAACTGTTTTTCCAAATTTTTCCTATATAATTCAATTCAGTATTTGTATTTTTACAATAGATATTATCCAAAGCAGCTTTTACAGATCCTGATGAGCATGCAATTGGTGACACTGATAAGTAAAATCTTTGTGACATGGCATGAGGAAGAAACTTTGACAGGACCAAAAGAAGGATGTTGTTACAAGTGATGTATGTGGAAAAAATATATACTGTGCAAAAGATAGAGAACACCCTTCATTTATTTACTTTCCAATCAAAATGGCCATTAGTTGCAAATTGTTTGCTTTTCAGAAGATCTTTCTGAGGAGGATAAAAGCTAAAAAAAGAGGATAAAAACTAAAGATAAAAGAGGATAAAAATCCTTTTGAATAAGGAAGGGTAAGGGAAGCATATAAGTGGAAAAAAGGAGTTTCCAAAAGCAAAGTTCAAAAATTATTAAAAGATACACAGAAGGTAGGACTCTATTCAAACAGCACTTGAAGCTTTAATCTTTGAGAGATCACAATTAAAAGGATGGTTCCTAAAGAGCTTTTAAAGAAAATGATTCTATATAGAACCATGAACACTGAAAGAACCCTTGTGAAAAGTTTTCAGATTGATGGATTTGAGTGTTCATGGTTCTATATAGACCCGTTTTCTTTACTAAAGAACCTGTGAAGAACCATCTTTTTAAAAGTGTAGGAGAAAATCAAGCTCCACTCTTGCTTTAGATCTGAAAAATCCACAGGTGTTTCTTTCCATCTTTCCACTGTGAGAAGACAACGCTATGGATCTGAAAGGATGTGTAGCTGTCAAGAAGCTGTTACGGAAAAAAGAAAATGTGCAAAGCAAGCAAAAAAGCTGCTGGTGTTCTCAGAAAAATGGACTGACCACCCCAGAGACCAGACCTCAGCATTAATGAATGTGTTTGCAATTACTTGGATCATGAGAAGTAGGTAATGCAATGTAATTGTAAAACTGAACTTCAGTGTTGAAGAAAAATATCCTTGCAGATTTATAGCTATAATAAAGGCAAAGGGTGGACACATGAAATACTGTACAGTTTGATTTTATATTTAGTTATGTGTGATTTTCTATTAGATCTATGCTTCCCGCTTGTTTCCAGATACTGTAAAATGAATAACTTGTACTTATTGGCCATTTAGACTGGAATTTAAATAACGAATGGTCTCTGACTTTTGCACAGTACTGTACATGTGTGACTGAGTTCTCAACTGTGTATGATCTTTAGGTGATGGAGATGAAGATGAAGAGGAGGGGCGAGAGGAGCGTCTACCGTCCTGCTATGACTATGTCATGCACTTCCTGACGGTGTTCTGGAAGGTTCTGTTTGCATGTGTGCCACCCACTGAGTACTGGAATGGCTGGGCCTGCTTCATGGTGTCTATCTCCGTCATTGGGATCCTGACAGCCATCATCGGAGATCTGGCTTCTCATTTTGGCTGCACTATTGGGCTCAAGGACACTGTCACAGCTGTAGTGTTCGTAGCTCTGGGCACTTCAATACCAGGTATGTAGAGCTTCAGTTGGACCTGAAATATAGGTCTGAGCCCAAATATAGCCTAAGACCATTCTGACCTGATCAGACCACAACAAACTAGAGACCAATCAAAATTCAGCTTTGCTAATGAATGAAGACAAGGTTAAGTTACCTAGCAACAATGGTAGCTGTCATAATTATCGGCTACACAAACTTAAGTTTAAATTCCACTTTATCAAATTTATTTGTCAACCGAGAGCAAAATCAAGGTTGAAATCAAGGTCAAAATCGAACCAAAATTAGGTTTATTTTGGATAAACTTTCTTTCAAGCTACTGCTATGTTTATTTAAACAACCTACAATGCTAAACATGGCAAGCCTTCTCAAGAGATGTTTACATTCATTTAATGTCCAAAGCGTTTTTCATTAAGCATTTATGATTGATACAATGACTATGCAAATAACAACACCTACTCATTCACAAAGTATTCCTGTAGTATTCATGGACGGTACAGTAACATTACAGTAAAATTTCATGTTGTTCCAGTTCTGTGACACTAGTTGGGGCTATTTTGTTTGTTGTTATTCTGCAGTAACAGTGTTTTAGTGAAATCGTAAAGGTAGGAAGCTAATGGCTCAATTTTACTTTAAAAATACTTTAAAAATATATTTTGTGTTATCAGCAGTGATGACCCTATATGAACTTCATCAAGCTAATACATGTAACGTATGCATAAAACTGACAGTCAAATAATGCACATCACATCTTTCAGTGATCAGAGTGTACTGATGTATGTTATTAGAGGTTCAATAATGTATTCATGATCATATCATGAAGTATACACTAAACATCATACATTATTTTACTTTAACAAATGAAAAAAAAAGTTTCAAAATTATTATGTAATTGTGATGGAGTATTACTGTACTGTTTAAGAACATGCCATGAACACTTCATCTACATGTAGTTCCTGTAGAGCCTTACAAGGAGAAAAACTAAAACAAGATGTAACTCAACGTAAATTTGAGAAATGATATCTGAATTGACATGAGTAGTGGGGTCCTTTGTGGTTTGGGTAAATAATTGTATGTTTGTGTGTGTGTGTGTGTGTGTGTGTGTGTGTAAGAAAGAGAGAAAGGGACAAGTTCGTAACACAAGAAGAAAAACAATCTCTACCATTAACAGAATAAATTCATCACTCTTTTTTTCTCTTTTTTTCTCTCCTCCTCCTCTCTCTCTCTTTCTTTCTCTCTCTCTCTCTCTCTCTCTCTCTCTCTCTCTCTCTCTCTTTCTTTCTCTCTCTCTCTCTCTGTCCTCCCTCTCCTCTTTTCTCTATCGCAGACACGTTTGCTAGTAAAGTGGCTGCCACACAGGACCAATATGCTGATGCATCTGTTGGCAACGTCACCGGCAGCAATGCAGTCAATGTGTTCCTGGGCATCGGGGTGGCATGGTCAGTCGCAGCCATCTACTGGGCCATAAAGGGACAGCGCTTTAGGGTGGACCCTGGCTCGCTGGCCTTCTCCGTCACCCTCTTCACCATCTTCGCCTTCATTTGCATGGCAGTCCTGCTCTACCGTAGGCAGCCATCCATTGGAGGCGAGCTTGGAGGTCCGCGAGTGCCACGCCTCCTCACCACACTGCTATTCCTGGGCCTGTGGCTTCTCTACATTCTTTTTTCCAGCCTGGAGGCCTACTGCCACATTGAGGGCTTTTAAATGCTCCATGGGGAAAGACACGCAGAACAAACCTGGATACAGCAAACACATGCTGCAGATATTTGCTAAACACTTTAGATACTTTAGGAAAAAAACATACAATATTAGAAAAAAAAAGTTCTTTGAGGTAGCGAAACACCTCAAACTGAACAGAAAAAATCAAAAGAAAAGTACACACAAAATACTTTCAGCCTTAGAGAACAACCTTAAAATACACACACACACACACACACACGAGATGCACACATCTAAATGCACAGACAAGACTATGTACACTTAAATTCATAGAGCATACTGTGAACTTGACAAGACAAGCTCAGTGCCCCCATGGAAGTGAACATTGAGGAGGAGGTTTAGAGGGAGGTCCTGTGGAAGGAGAGAGGAGAAAGAGAGAGATAGTGAAAAGAGAAGAAAAAATATATATGAGAGAGACAAAAGGAGATGACAGAGGGACTTTAGCAGGATAAGATACTATAGAAGGAAACAAAGCATGTAAGAAAAGGATGGAATGAGCAGAAAATGAGAAAAGCTAGATACTGTATGTTGTTTATGATGGCGATTTTGCTCCTTTTTTTCTTTTTTGCCGTAGCAGGCTTAAAATAATGGAAGCTGTTTTAGGACTTGGTCACAGATCAGAAGGTCCTGGGTTTGAATTCCAGCTAATCTGCACTGAGGCAAAGCACTGAACCTTGCAGTTTGAAATTCTGTCACTTTGAGTGAAAAGCATCAGCTGACTGTAAACATTAGAAAACAAAACATTAGAAAACAAAATGGACTGGTATAACAGTCCAAGTATTTATTTCTGTGTGCTGAACGCGATCAGTCCCTCTTTCCAACAAAAGAGGAAAAGGTTTACACGCACACACACACACACACACACACACACACACACACACAAATTATCTAAGCCGATTATACTTCTGGGTCGCAGGGGGGTGCTGGAGCCTGTCCCAGCGGTCACTGGGCTGAAAGCAGGAAGGTTGATAGACAGTTTAAACAAACTCTGTTTGAGAGAAGTGGTGATCCATCAGGTGCCAGAAGTGAAAGAATGTAGAAGTATCTTGACACCAGTCATGAACTGTGAACATGTCAAATATGACCAGAACATTATGGTTTGTGAACTATATTTGTGTAAATAGATTTTATGTTTCTAAAGCCCAGAGCACATCAACCTATGGTTCTCCAAAGAACAATGACTTGCTCCACTGTTGGCCCAGTGTGCCATAGCTTGTTGCAGTCTTTAGAATATTCTTTGTGGCTGAAGGTCTTTTATGTTTTTCTGAACATTCTAAAGCCAAATGCCAACATTATGACGTTTGTGTTTTGTTGCAGGATGATGGGTTGCTGTGTACTAGGTTTTAAGTATTCTCACTTCTCTGCATGCAGACCAGAAGGCAAATCTAACGGATACTGAGTAGAGGTCAGCGAGGAATGAGGCTTGTAGACTGGCATGGAAGAAACTTTTTTCAGGTTCTTTCTGTACACGTGCTTTAAGCTTTGTGAATTCTACTGAGCATTCAAACAGTCCCTAAATGGTGTAATTAAATCTACTGATTTTTCCTGCAGACACAGTCCATCTTCTCTCTCTGACATCACAATGGTCATTTGGGCTTTGTACGATTAAGCAGTACTAGCTTTGACGTACTAGTAAAGAGTTCATTCATAAAATTGCCTCTCTCAATTTTAAAATATCCTCTAAATTCTGTGTTGATGCCTGGGAGGCTTTTCTTCAACCACAGCTATGTCCACTGTCACCACCTCTTCCTTTAATTTTGCAAAGATTGATGGCTTTAACTAAGCAGTGATGGCTGAGGATGTAAATATGCTTTTGTTGTACGTTGATTTGTTCTCGTGTCAGAATGCCTCAGCGCACTGAACTATCCCTCATTTCTCCCCAAGAATCCATTAGAAATCGAACATCATCTCCTTCTAGAAATACAGTACACTCGTGTAGTAGGTTGCTGGTCAACATATTTGTCCAAGAGGAATTATTCTATTAGACCATGTGATGCCATTATTTTAACACATGTAGTATCATGGTAGCCTAAAATTGACCCTACTCTTTCATTGAGCTTTGTGAACTTGCAGACTACTATAAATACAATCTGTTCACTTCCAAAAATGTTGTATAATTTTTATAGGTATTGATTTATTACTGAATGATGTTTGGGTAGTGAGGTAGTAAAGCCAATCTGACATCATAAAGAAATTGTTTTTTTCATTCACGCATGTTCATCAATTGAAAAAAATGAGATCTAAAAAGCTGCTTTGAAAACCGTAAAGAACAGCTACACTGACAAATGGTAATCAGTGACTCTTATTAAAAATAAATGCAGCAAATTTATTATGGTCTCATACCACTTCAACAAAAAAAAATCCTTCTCCTGAAGTCTTTTAGCATGACAGTTGTTTTTGTTTGGATTGCTTTTGAGTAGTGCTGAGCATTGGTCTTTGCTACAGTCATTAGGTGCATCTCTTAGAATTACAAATCCAGTCATAACTCAGGATCATGTGTAAAAGTACAGAACAGGGATTCGATGTGTTATTTATTTGTAATTAATCGTGACTTGTGCTACCTGTGTCAGAACAACATTTTGCCTGTGATAGGCTAGGTTCTAGGCTATGTTCTGTGGTAGCCATTTGTCTGTATGCAAAGACCGGCCTTTAACGTGCACAAGGCTAGCTTTTTACCTGTGCAGTACGCTAATATCTTACTTGTAGAATAGTTGGTAGAGCTGCATGATGGAGTAAATTGTGACAGAGCTAAAATGGCATGGTTTAACTCTAAAGATGTGCATGGATGGTCATATAAAGTTTACAGTGTTCATTTAGTTAAATGGGCAATTTGTGTGCTAAGTTGCACTGGAGGCAAGATTCTCTGACTATACTAATAATAGTTTACTTCAAACAGTGCCCTCGACAAGTTTATAAATTTTAAGCGATTCCCATCTTGACAAACTGCAAACCTAAAACATCAGCTCATTCAGTGTGAGAACCATTTTATATTTATAGCCCCAGTTACAATGAAACAGCACCTTGGCTTATTTTTGGAGGTTAGGTCATTCCACACTGACTCACCCAGAGTTTGGTAGGAGTCCCATAAATAAAATGAAAATCAAAAAGCAAAAACCTCGCTGTAATTCATGCAATCATGCAAAATTTTAAAACTGTGCTCCAAATAGTTTTACTTTTAATTATACATTGTTTCACAGTTTGTTTCAGCAAGTTCTATGTCACATTTTAAAAGTAAATCACTTTTTAAAAAGTTACTACTTAAAGAATGATGGAACTGAGTTGAAATATTACCATAATTTACCTTGTGCCTAAAAAATTTAGATAATGAAGGAGTCATAGCACACCTGTAAAAACACTGGCATAAAAGTACACCCTTCTAATAAATGAATAAATTATGGGAATTTATCAACAGGAAACTAGTTGATTTAAAGCATTTTTGACTGCACTGATCCGGTCAGGTAAGGATTAAACCTTCTTGAGAGTTCCTGTCCATTTAGCTCACTCTTCCACTATCTTTGTGCTTCATGTCAGAGCAGAGCATGTGGAATGCTGAAATAGGCATACGAATTCTGCCTGAGATGTGAGCCAAGTATGAGTGAATGGACAGGAGTGGAAAGGAATCTCAGAAGACTGTTGTAACTCTTACATGACACTGTTATTAAAGCAACAGAATGTGTAATCAAGTGTTTGGTTTTTGCATGATTGAGTGAATTAAATGGTAGTTTTTGTTTGGAAATGCAAGTTTCTCTAGAATCATGCAAATATTCATCACAAGTTTTAGTGGTGATGCTGTTGATGAGGAGCATCTGTTGTGCACTGAAACTAGCCTGCTAACAGCAGATTGGGCTTTAAGGGACATAAACTCCCTGTTTTATTCCTCTGCCTATAGGCTTGTCAAGGATAGATCTCTTAAACCTTTAAATTCTAGCTGCACTATTTGTATTATTTACTTACTTTTTGTGCTGAAAAATTATGAGTGTATGTGTGTTTTAAGGTCCATTCACCCTTTTTGACCCTTTTAAAATGTTTTTATAGCTTAAAAATTTAAATTTATTTATTTATTCAGTATCATTAGTGGTAAGAAGAAAGGAGTGGTCAGAAGAAAAAAGCATGTTGCTTTCCATATGAATGGCACCAGTGATAAAAAAAAGCAGGGAATTCTGATTGATGTAGTATGAGATCAATATGAAGTATAATACTTGCCTAATTCAAAATGATTAACATGATAATTTTAAACAGACTGTTACTAATTAGATAGAAATGCATTCACAGATTGGTGGTCTGTATTTATTATTATTTATTTGTTTGTTTGTTTATTAAATTGTGTGACCCAGTTCGGCCTTACAGAAGCATTTTTTTTATTTGTCATGTTTTACTGGCGGAAGCGGTTTAGATGATGTATGTATGTATGTATGTATGTATGTATGTATGTATGTTTTACTGGTGTATCAGCACTGTGTTTGATGTGTTTGTGCTGTGTAGACCCATGTTTACTCTGGGCTTAACACAGACCAAACACCTCCAAACTCACCCCTCATCAGTGTAGATGAGAGTGCAGTTCAGTTCTCTCTTGTACCTAGATCTTAACCCTTACATCCTTGTTTAAGCTACTACTTATAACTCTAAGGCCACCTTTACAAGGAAAGTTTGGTATCTGTCAAAAATGCACCTCATGCCATTGATTTCCATGAGAACAATGTTAATGCCTGAAATTATGGTCCTCTGTCTTTGTCAACTGTTGAAAAAATTGGCCGGAGTTATACTTCTAATGGAACGTATTCTGATGTAACTGTGCATCAGGTAGTACTTGTTGGTGAAGGGTGGGGCTGTAGTCACGTGATGTTGAACAAGATGGAGGAAAACCTAATTATAGCTGTCAGGTTACAACAGAGCTTGCAGTACTCCTCTGAAGATCTAAACACCTCACATCCTCTACAGATCTATGAGGACAGCTCATGTTTTTTTTCTCTTCCTTCTGTGAAGAAAAAACAGCAACAGTCAGCAATTCTTGCTTTTCATGTATGAACGATTTTCTTGCCCAAAACCATGCATCCAACAAACCAGCAGTGCATATAAATGTTTTGTTTATCTATCTATCTATCTATCTATCTATCTATCTATCTATCTATCTATCTATCTATCTATTTATTTATTTATTTATTTATTTATTTTTTGGACTGAGACCAAAATGTCTTTGTGAAGGGGCTGAAGGCAGCCTGAACCAAAAGTGCTGTTTGCAGCGCTAAAGAACAAATGGAATCTACATTAAACCATAAGGCATTATAAACTTACAATGGGCAAAATACTGATCTGTATTACCCATTCATTTTCAAAATTCTTGCTTTAAAAGCATGTGCAATAGATCAGAGAAACTGAATGAAACTTGGAATGCTCATGAAGTGATTAAACTTCCTTGAAGCAACTCCACAACATGCTAAACAAAAGTAGTTCAAAATTTTAAATCAAGAGACTTTATTATTTAGGCGTGCAAATCGTGCCACGTCTCATTAGGCAAGTATGGTATTACCTTCATGTCTGTGTGTATGTTGTTACATTTGTTGCACAA